TTACCGTCTATAACACTACTTTTCAATATTTATTAATTTAACTCACCACTAAGAGGTATGGAAGGTAGCCAATCCTCCGGAGTGACTTTTGAGAATCGTAGCATATGGTCCAGGCGAGAAAATCGATAACCTAACAAAATTAATTACACAATAAGAACATATTCAATAAGTTTTAACATTTTCTACTTTCTACTTACCACACCGCCAACCCATTCCGTAGGCTTCAACGTTGCAACGTCGTATACAGTAGCGAATTGATTTCCCATTGAGATTACAGAATATCTGTATGAATCATTAGGATTAATATGTTGTCATGAAATATTTAAATATCACTCACAAAACAATATATTTCACTTACCCCGATTCTAACTCGCTATTCCATAAATAATCACAAATTGCAGCTTCGATGTCATCAATTCCGCTTGGAATATCCGCTTTTTCAACCTACAATTTTGCATACAAATTTTTGTCACAACAACATAATAAAAATCAAATTAAGTATTCTTTTATTAAACTTACCTTCTGCTTCTTCTTCTGGGGTGCAGGACATTCCGAATCCAAAACTGCTGCTATAACACTCTCCGGTGTATAAATGACATCGACTTCCTTCCTCCTCATTTCTTCCATCTCTTCTTCTTCCTCCTCCCTCTTTTCTTCTTCATATTTTTTAAGTTCATCGTACTTTTTTTCTACATAGCTCTTCATCTCTTTTATTTCACCCTTCAATTGAGCTCCTTCATCCGAGTATTTATCAACCACCCCCTTCACCCCCATAAGTTCACTCCTCAAATCCACAACCTCCTTCACCACTCCCTCAAATTTTTCTCCCGTCACCATCTTAATATCACCCCTTAACACCCCAACTTCTTTCACCACTTCACCCCTCAACACCTCTACTTCTTTCACCACTCCATCTATTTTTCCTTTCACTACCCCCTTATGCCTCTCGAGTGTATCTTCGACTCTCTCGAGTTTCTCTACGACTTGATCAAGTTTCTCTTCGACTCTTGATTGTCTTTGCATGATTTCAAATTGGATTTTTTTGATATCAGCCAATTCAGACATCAAAATGTCGAAGTTACTCTGTTTTGCTTCACCGTCGTCCCACTCACCGTCATCCCCCAATACAACCATCCCTCCTTTCTTCTCCTCTGCCTCCACTGCCTCCTCTACATCCTTGCCAATAACCTTCAAAATTAAATTACAATATTAAGACATTGATTATATTCTTAATATTATTTAATTACATTTATTACCATTTCTTGCTTCTTCCCTCTATCCAACTTCAACTTCACCATCACTCTAACCACCTCTTCCTTCCCCCATGCACGGATGCGTGCCACTCCGGTTCTTTCATAAGCCGGCACTGCCTCACAGCCCGACCAAAAATCGAACAGTGCAACCTGCATTTATAATAAAATTTATATTTTTATATAAAAACACAAAAAAGTGATTCAACTCATTTACCTCTAAGATTGCTATGCACCCTTTGAGGTATCTCTGGCTGCCCTTTTTAAAGGTGATTATTGATTCAATCAATCTCGAATGGATATATTCAGCCCAATTGAATTCACCCTTCAAGCCTTCATCGCAAATGAGCTTCATATATTCCTTGTTCGTTGACGTATCACCCGTTGGACAAAGAAATATCCCGACAAGGTACAATAGAACTCGGGCCTTCAGCTCATCCCCCCAGTAAGATCCACATTTGATATCCTCTTCAACTTCAGCATATGTCACCTTATGATTCAAACCATATTTGGAGGCAAGTGCTTTCCAGTTCTTACTCCTACAGACTTATATAACACTTTTGCCTTTGTTTTGTACCCCCAATACGGCTGCAGCAGTCGATACCCCCAGAGGGAATGAATAATCACCATACTTAGCCATACATTGACTGACGTCAAATTGTGCCATCAAGGATCGACACAATTCCCTCCGAATAGGTCGATCCCTTACTCCGATCAACGATCCAAAACCTATTTCTCCCATCACATTCAACTGACCCTTCTCCTTAAGGTGTTTAATTAATAAATTCACCCTTTTAATGCTGCATCTTGTCGACACTTCCTACATTTTTTAACAATATAAAATGTTATAGTTCTTATATATTTTGTATCAACGTATTTACAAGTTTAATGAATACCTTATTTTCATGTGCTTTCCTCCGTTCTTTGTATTCTTTACTATCATTCCTTGACTGTGTGATGTAAGGTTCCTTTTCAGCATCACTCATTGAATTCCATTTGGACCTCACATCTTTTTTCACCTAATATTAAACATAAACGTTTCTTAATCAATACATTAACACTAAATACTAATACTACTCAATGTCAATTTCATTTTACATACCGAACCGCTCTGTGTGCCATCTCCCTTCATCCTTTTGCATTCGGCCATACTGTTAACATTTAAAATTTGTAATCAATTTAAAGTTTATCGATACTTTAATCCAATTACCATTTCAACAATAATAACAAAAAGACATTGATAGTTACTAGAAGTACATATATCCACCCTTTGGTTGCTTTCGAGTCTCGGCCTCAATTTCAAAGTCATCTGCTCCACCAACAATTTTCCAACCCATTGACTCCATTTTTCCTTCATATATCAGTTTACGCAAATCAAATTATTTTGTTACATACACTTTTCAATATACAAATATAGATAACTACTCTTGTGGTAAAACGGTTTTCTTCAAAAGAATTTGAATGGCCACACCAAAATGTGTCGGCACATTTATACAACCTATAATATCATTTTCTACCTATAATATTTAATAAAAGTATCGACATTTATATTTTTCCTTGAATATCTATTTCTACATGCAATCGATCCCAAATGCTTCCTTACTCCAAAACCCCAAACAACACATAAAAAACCCTATCGCGATTACTGTAATAATAAAAAATTAGGGTTTCGACAACATACTTTTCGATTCGACTGCAGCAACAAACAAACAAACTTCGCTTTAGAAACGCCTTCTGAAATGCAGCAACAATTACTCTTCGATTTCAAAAACTTGTCCGTTCTATCTTTTTTCAGAGGATATTTAGCTATGGCCTTTATATTTTCATCGGATATGTTATTTATATTTAATCGATACAAATACAAAAGTGTCGATACTTTTATGTCAGGTGTCGATACTTTCGAAAGGATAATTACCTATTTCTTTGAAAGTGTCGATAATTTATTACACGTACTTACGAAAGTATCGACACTTTCAATATATCCGGTATCATTTTACCGGTTTTATCATTTTGATACCGGTTTTATCATATTTTTACCTGTTATATCGTTGTCGATCGATATATTTTTTTTAAAGTATCGACACATTATAGGCGCTATAACTGCTTCTCTTTTAAATTCACAAAGTGTCGATCCTTATATAACGTATCGACACTTTTAAATTTACCGGTTTTATCATTTTGTTACCGGTTTTATCATATTTTTACCTGGTATATCGTTTTGGATCGATATATTTTTTAAAAGTATCGACACTTTTTAGGATTTAAAACTGCTTTTAAAGTTATGTAATTTATGTTTCAATTTATTTAATAGTGTTTCATATTTTCCACCTACAATATTAATTTAATAATTTAATTTACACAAAATTTTATTTGATTGTTTTGATATTTTATAAAATATTATTTAGAATTTAAATTTAACAATATTAACTAAATATAATAATAAATATGTTTTCAACAGTGAAATAAGTATGAACACTTTTATAAAAATGATATATACTTTTTTGAAAGTTATGTAATTTATGTTTCAATTTTTTTAATAGTGTTTCATGTTTTCCACCTACAATATTAATTTAATAATTTCATTTAATCAAAAAATTATTTGATTGTTTTGATATTTTATAAAATATTATTTAGATTTTAAATTTAACAATATTAACTAAAGATAATAATAAATATATTTTCACAGTGAAATAAGTATGGACACTTTTATAAAAAGGATAGATAATTTACAATATAACAGGTAAAAATATGACAAAACCAGATTCATTATGACAAAACCGGTAAAATTTACTTGATATGTTAAAAGTATGGACACTTTTATAAAAAGGATAGATACTTACCGATAACCAAAGTTTACCGGTTACCAAATTTTTTAATAGTTTTTCATATTTTCTACCTAAAACATTATTAGTTGTCAACATAATAGGTACCGCTAAACCGAATTTATTAAATACATTTTAATGTATCCGGTAATGCTGTATATTAGCCGTATATTAACCCGCCTTTCCTGAGACATTCCCCCTAAGTTCAAGCTCAATCCAAACTTGTACTCTAAAACTCTGACTCGATATGTTCTTAATTTTTATACAAAAAACCTGACTCAATAGGCTCGGTTGGTAAGATAAAAAAATCGTCTGGTTCGGGTCTCGTGCATATCTTTAAATAAATGAGAATATCGTTCTCTTTAGAGATCATGAGTTCGAGCAACTGCGTCTATACGATTCATATACGTTCATTTTTAATTGACTAAGAAAATTATTAACAAATATTATCTTATAATAAAAAATAATTATTTTAAATTTAAGTTATTTAAAAATATAATTAATCTAGATATTATATTAAAATAATTATATAATTTTATTTAAACTTTTATACATTATAACGAAAATTTATTAATTACATAATTATGCTTTAAATAAAAAAATAATAATATTTTAATATTTAATTAATAAAATGTACATCTTTTATACTAAGTAAAGCCCGGTCTGAGTTATAAGTTAAAGGATTAAAGAGTGGTCCCATCCCCCTTATCTCGTGCACTTAGTCACCCATCTAGAGAGACAAACATAATATTTTTAATCATTATTTTAATTCATAATTAACAACTTTATTGGTAGATTAAGTGAAGCTTTTTTTCGAGTTAATTAAATAGTTAAAGTTATTAAAGAATTCAACTTGTTGAAGAAAGAGAGTATCACATGGCATGTGAGCAACATCACATACCCCTTCTTAACCATGCTTTGACTCTCGCTGTCTATTTCTTCCTTTCAAAAACCCAAAACCGAAGAAAAATCCATAATTTGGCTCATCTCTCTCAAAAAACCAGAGCTCAAAGCTTCATTTGTTGTCTCTCTAATGGAGGTGCTCAAACCCTAAACACCTTCTTCATCTTCTCTTTCTTAATCTCTTACTTGTATGAAAAACCTCAAATTTCCCACAAAAAATGAGACTTTTCTTTGGTTTTTGGACTTGCTTTTTCATCGCCACCTTTCTTATATATGTTGAAGCTGCTGGCGATTCCCAGTTACTACTCAAGTTTAAAGCCAGTTTGCCTAACCCATCTCTCCTTCAAAGCTGGGTTCCTAACACGGACCCTTGTAGTTTCAGTGGCGTCACTTGCCGAGACTCACGAGTTTCATCGATTCAACTCATTTCTATCCCCTTGAGCACTGATTTTCACTTTGTTGCCGCTTACCTTTTAGTACTTGAAAACTTGGAATCCCTGTCTTTATTCAAAGCCAACATCTCCGGCAACATTTCTTTCCCTTCTGGATCCAAGTGCAGCTCGTCGTTGAACGCCTTGGATCTATCTGACAACGCCTTGTCCGGTCCCCTTTCAGCTGTTTCCAGCTTGGGTTCTTGCTCGAACTTGAAGCTTCTTAATTTATCAAGCAATAGCCTCGGATTTTCCGGTGATGAATCCAGCAGGGGTTTGCAGCTGAGTTTGCGAGCTCTTGATCTTTCTTTCAACAAGATTTCCGGTGATAACGTGGTTCCTTGGATCCTCCAAGGTGGGTGCGGCGAGTTAGAGCTCTTGGCTTTGAAAGGAAACAAGATTGATGGTGAAGTAAACGTATCGAACTGCAAGAATTTGCAGGTTTTGGATCTTTCAGCGAACAATTTTTCGGCTGATTTTCCTTCATTCGGAGACTGCTCCGCCTTGGAACATATTGATATCTCCGGCAACAAGTTCTCCGGCGATATAGCTCGTGCGATTTCTTCATGTGTGAACATTAATTTCTTGAATCTATCGAGCAATCAGTTTTCCGGTCAGATTCCAGCTTTGCCAACTTCTAATTTGCAGTATCTGTATTTAGCTGAAAATAATTTCCAAGGGGAGATTCCTTTGTATCTCACTCAAGCTTGTTCAAATCTCGTTGAGCTTGATCTCTCTTATAATAATTTCTCTGGGTTGATTCCTAGTAGCTTTGGTTTTTGCAGTTCTTTGGAATCATTCGATGTGTCTAGCAATAATTTCACTGGTAAAATACCCATTGAAATATTCCAGAATATGAGTTCATTGAAGGAGCTTGGTTTAGCTTTTAATTATTTCTATGGTCCACTGCCTGAATCTTTTTCCACTCTTTCAAACCTGGAGGTTTTGGATCTCAGTTCAAACAACTTTTCAGGGTCAATTCCTGTTTCTTTATGTGAGAATCCCGGAAACAGGTTACAGATTCTGTATTTGCAGAACAATATGTTGTCCAGGTCGATTCCGGCCAGTCTCAGTAACTGTTCTCAGCTCGTCTCGCTTCATTTGAGTGTCAATTATCTCACAGGTACCATTCCTTCGAGCTTGGGTCGTCTCTCGAAGCTTAAGGATTTGAAGCTTTGGTTGAACCAGCTCCATGGAGAAATCCCTCAAGAGCTAAGCAACATCCAGACACTTGAGACTTTGATTCTCGACTTCAATGAGCTGACCGGACCGATACCTTCTGGCTTAAGCAACTGTACCAGGTTGGATTGGATTTCTTTGTCGAACAACCGATTGACTGGCGAGATTCCGTCTTGGCTCGGCGAGCTTTCAAGCCTTGCGATTCTCAAGCTTAGCAATAACTCTTTCTATGGAAGAATCCCACCAGAGCTTGGGGATTGTAAAAGCTTGATATGGTTGGATCTTAATTCCAATAACTTGAATGGGACTGTCCCTAACGTGCTGTTTAAACAATCAGGTAAAATTGCTGTCAATTTCATTGCGGGGAAAAGGTATATGTATATCAAGAATGATGGAAGCGCAGAGTGCCATGGATCTGGAAATTTACTCGAATTTGCCGGAATTCGTTCGGAACAGTTGGATAAAATTTCAACAAGGAACCCCTGCAACTTCACAAGAGTCTATGGCGGCCACACTCAGCCTACATTCAACAACAATGGCTCTATGATTTTCCTTGATCTTTCATACAATTCGCTGTCCGGGACGATTCCAAAGGAGATTGGCTCGATGTTATATCTGTTTATCTTGAATTTGGGCCACAATAATCTATCTGGAGCCATCCCTCAAGAGATTGGCAACTTAAAGGGTCTTGGCATTCTTGATCTTTCATACAACCGGCTCGAGGGGTTGATTCCGCAATCGGTGACTGGCATTTCAATGCTTAGTGAGATTGATCTGTCAAACAACCGTCTATCCGGTATGATTCCTGATGCAAATCAGCTCGAAACATTTCCAGCTAATAGTTTCATGAACAATTCAGATCTCTGTGGTGTACCTCTTCCACCCTGCGGAAGTCCATCAGTTAGTTCAAATTCCGAGCATCAAAAGTCCAACCGCAGGCAGGCTTCTCTAGCAGGGAGTGTGGCAATGGGGTTGTTGTTTTCTCTATTCTGCATCTTTGGTTTGATCATGGTTATTGTCGAAACGAAGAAACGAAGGAAGAAAGATTCTGCTCTCGACGTTTATATCGACGGTCTTTCCCATTCTGGGACTGCAAATAATACTAACTGGAAGCTAACTAGTGCTCGAGAAGCATTGAGCATAAACCTTGCGACATTCGAGAAGCCCCTACGGCGGCTAACCTTTGCCGATCTGCTTGAAGCCACTAATGGCTTCCATAACGACAGCCTCGTCGGTTCTGGAGGCTTTGGTGATGTATACAAGGCACAGCTGAAGGACGGGAGTGTTGTTGCGATCAAGAAACTAATACATATTAGTGGCCAAGGTGACAGAGAATTCACGGCAGAAATGGAAACCATCGGGAAGATCAAGCACCGGAACCTTGTCCCACTCTTGGGCTATTGTAAAGTCGGCGAAGAACGACTTCTAGTTTACGAGTATATGAGGTATGGAAGCTTAGAAGATGTTTTACATAATCAAAAGAAGACCGGGATCAAACTGCAATGGGCGGCAAGGAGAAAGATCGCCATTGGAGCTGCAAGAGGACTTGCATTTCTTCACCATAATTGCATCCCGCATATAATTCATAGAGATATGAAATCGAGCAATGTCCTACTGGATGAGAATTTGGAGGCAAGGGTCTCGGATTTCGGGATGGCAAGGCTTATGAGTGCAATGGATACGCATTTGAGTGTCAGTACATTAGCCGGTACTCCTGGCTATGTTCCCCCTGAATATTACAATAGCTTCCGATGTTCCACGAAAGGCGATGTTTATAGCTACGGTGTAGTGTTGCTCGAGTTGCTAACAGGGAAAAGGCCTACGGATTCTGCTGATTTCGGCGATAACAATCTCGTAGGGTGGGTGAAACAGCATGCCAAACTCCGAATAGCAGACGTCTTTGATCCGGAGATCATAAAAGAGGACCCGAGCCTTGAGTTCGAGCTTTTACAACACTTAAAAATAGCCTGTGATTGCTTGGACGATCGACCGTTGAGACGACCAACCATGATTCAAGTCATGGCGATGTTCAAGGAAATACAAGCAGGATCTGGACTGGACTCGCAATCGACGATTGGCACCGAAGACGGCTGTTTTAGTTCCATGGACATGGTAGATATGACCATTAAAGAAGTCCCCGAAGGTAAGGAGTAGGCAATAGGATTGTTGAACCAAATTTTCACATGAAAATTCTTTGAAGATCTGAAGCAATTGGGTATTTGATCCAATCAGCTCCCACAAAATGCCGCATCCCTACCATTTGATGTATGTATACATAAAACAAGCTGTTTTTACCTTGTCATAAAATGTGTAAATATACAGTTCCCAGTTGTTTTGCTGTTTCATTCCCCATATGTTTTCTTATGAAAAAAAAAATCCTCCGGTTCTCTCGATCGACGATAAAGAAATATCGAATTGTTTCGAAAATTTACGAGACGGATATTCGATCGACAAAATAGAAATATCGGACTATTTCGAGACTTTACGAGTCGGATATGAGTGATGGTGACCAAGTGAAGGACAAAAGTGTATGTATTTGTGTGTATAGCTGTGAAGGGAAAGGGTAAGGGGTCAATTCAGATGTTGTTCATTTCAGTTTTAAGTGCTGTGGGGTTCTTTTTTTTTCATCTTTGCAATTTGACTATTTTGCTTCCAAATTTCTGCAATGTGGTCCTCTTGACTCTGCCATTTTTGTTTATTTCATGTTTGCTCCCTTATTTTCTAGTTTCGGAATTTAAAGTAAAAGGATGATTGTCTCAATGTAGTGCATCATTAATTTTACAATTAAATGGTATTTTAGTCCTTTAAATTGCATCTTATTATGACTTTAATGTACGAAGAATTTTTTAATTCAGTTTTGCCCATTAACTCTTTTCATCGTAATGCATTTTATTTTAGCCCAATTTTTGGTTAAAAAAAATTCACGTGACACTCTAGGAACGCATCATCTAGTACATAATATATACTAAATTTTTGAAAAAAAAGAAGTTTATTTTTTTCTTTTTAGCAAATTTGATAATTTTTATTTTTAATGTTCTTTATGAATTTTCTTGAAAATTTTTAAATTTAGTGTGTATATATATATTATGTGTGATGTGGTGCATTACTAGAATGACATGTAAACTTTTTGTAACCAAAAAGAAGGGCTGAAATAATGTACAAAGCGAATGACAAATTCAAGAGTCGATAAATTCTCCAAATATCAAAATAATGTGTATCAATTAACCTTTAATTTGACATTATAATGTGTATCATCGATTTTTTTATTAATACAAAATAATATGTTTAAAGATAATTCTCAACTATATGACATTGAATGTTTATACCTTCGATATTCCTGATGCTCGAATATGAGATCTCGAAAAATAACAATAATTCATTTATTACCGAGGTCGCTTGGTTCGTACACGTGTATCATTAATTTTACTTGTTTTAGTGTAAAATTAAATAAACTCTATACATTTTCATAACTTTTTTAATAATTAAGACCAACACTCACGAAATCGTAAGTATATATTCAATTTTTTTTGTTTAAAAAGTATATTTTTAAAATTTAAAGTAATATATAGTTTAATTATTATAATTATATGTATAATTAAGTATTAAAAATTTAGCATAAAAAGTTTTTATTTACGAGGGGTAATAAAATTTCGTTTAACCTTATATAATGTGTGACAAATTTCAATATAGTTCAACGAGTCTCGAGGTGACCAAATTCCAAGATTTTGCCCCATTTTACAAATATAAAATTATTTAATATTTTTTCTTTTCATGCACTGCATGTGCTTGTACCCCTATAAATGAATTTTAGGCATTTAGTATATATTCATACTTGTACGAATATACATCAATTTTAAAATAAAATTATTTAGTATTTTTTAACCGAAAAAAAATAAAATTCATAATATAATATTTAATAATTAAAAATATTAACGTTTATCGAAACTTGAAAGGGTAAACTTCTAATTTTCTTAATTATTGGATTGACTGCTCTGATAAAACTATAAAATTAAAAAGATAAAAGTCTAAATATTGATAATTACAAACAAATCATTTTTCTATTAATTGAAAAGGTTAGATTAATACTAAAATTTAATAAATTCATCGAATTGAACACGATATTTGTTTTTAAAGAAAAATAAGTAAAAATATTTTTTAAAGAAAAATAGTAAAAATAAGGAGAAAAATGAGGACGAACAAACAATTTCTTTTTTAAAAAATTCCCCATTTTTTTAAAAAAATAAAAGAGTCCGTTAGATTATTTTAATATTAAGCATTCAATTAAGTTATCAATCTGCGGAATGTACGGCTGCGATGTCCCCATACGGAAATAAATAGTTATTTATTTTCTTATGATAATGTTTCCCATTAAACAAGTACTCTTCAAAGTGGGGAAGATGGAAACAAAATGCAGATATAATATATGCGTTTGTTCAGTCATTTGACAGTTTGGCAATTTTTAATTAATCTTTTTTAATTTTATAGATTCTAATTAATTAAAATTTATAAAATACACGTTTCACTAAAAAAATTAATACATTTTCAATATTTTATAAATAATAAAATTTAAATAAATAATTAAATATTAGATTTTATCTTTAAAAACCTCTCCTTTTCTCCTATAAAAAATGGGTTTAATTTAATGTCATAAAATGTATTTATATAAAAAAATATTTTTATTATTACAATAATAATTCAACTCAAGTTTGCTGGAATTGCAAATTGCTTGAAATCCGAGTTCAACTTTGGCCTACCAGACAACAGCTGGCTCTTGAATAAATATAAATTTTGTCGTGATTATTAATTAAACGAATATTTAATGAATTAATTATATGTTTTATTACAACCTAAACATAGAGTATCGCAACTAAACGAATAATTTTTGAAGGTTTAACCGGATAAGTGCCGGGCAGCAGACAAAGTTCGGGCAATGTGTTGGGGGCAAGTGGGGCAGAAATAAATAAAATAAACTTTTTTATTTTATTTTTCTCTCACAGCTAATGGGAAGTCGGTGAGGTTGGGGTGGGATCTGATCTACCCACGTGCGCTTACAGAATGTGGTCCCCACGCGACCCCGTGGCAACTTGGGATAAGGGCAAATTTATTATTTTAGGATTGTTTATGATGAATGGACATATACCTTTAAGTATAATTATACATATACTCCTCGTATTTATTTTATAACTTATATTTAAATTCATAATTATTTCTTTCAACAACATTATCTTTAAAATTTGGATATTCAAATCTATATTACCTCATTCGAAATGCATTGTTCTTATGAATGCATCCAATATTTGTCAGTATTTACTAGCGCATATAATAACATGGGTTAATTAACAAATAAAACTTAGGCAAACTCCTCAAAATAAGGAATTGAACGTGCGTATCACGTGGTAAGGATTTGAATGGAGTTGGGATAACGAGGAAGTGGCGAGGACTGAAGTCTCTTCTTTTCATGATCTAGTCTTTATTAATGATTTCACATAATTAATTCCATTTAAAAATTTGTAATCACTTAGAACTGATTAAAATTAAAAGCTTTCACAAGTTAATCAAAACCATGAGGACTTACTTGAATAAAATATTAATTCTAGGTCACGTTAACCTAAGTAAACGATTTGTCTATACCTCATAGGCGTATCGAGGAATACAATGATTCACAGGAGGAACCAAATCGCAAACAAAAGCAGTATGAGCTTCTTGCATTGAACCCAAAAACTTCAGTTTATAGAAACAAAAGCAGTAGGAGCTTCTTGCATTGAACAAAAGAATTCCCCATTAAATCGCAAACACGAAACTCGATAAAATCTGATCGTTGATCACTTGATCATCATCATTATAACTGTTCGCTTGTTCTTTATTATAACTGTCATTATATCATCGTCATTATTACTGCGAAATGATAAACAATTTACCCGATTCATGAACAGACCTTCAAACAGGAACCACCAAAAGCAAATTTTGAGTTTTTCAGATGAAATTCCTGACGTCCAACGACTTCACATCAGGCATTTGCTCATCCTTGAATTCCTCCCTGAAGATGAAACATAATCCGATTCAATTTCTAACACAACAAAGATTGAAAACAATTACTAATAAATAAAGCCGTGCGTAGAAACTATATTACCCAGACTCTTCATTTTCCTACGTAGCTCATGTTTCATACATGTCCAGGTTTAAATGTGACAACATATATTCATATCTGACACCCACTCCAAGTTTAAGTAACAGCATACAATAAAATGTTCATCCAACATTTCTAAGACCTATGATTGAAGGAGCTAAACCAAATTCATCCAATCGCCCGCCAAAAGTCCCAGTGGGCCATTCCACAACAACCAATAGGGTGAAACAGAAAGAGATTAATCGTAGCAAAACATAAGAACTTTTAACATACCGCTTCGATTGTGTTTCCATTGCTTCCAGAGCATCCTTCTTCAACTCCTCTAATTGTGCCTTGGCAATTTTTAGCTCCAGTTGTTCCTCATACTTGGGCAGATCTTCCTTCCAGATTCCAAGCCTAATAAGACCAAGAGTCAAAAAAGACATGAAGTCATAAGCATAACTCTCTATTTCGTTTTATGAACGGATGCAAGCATAAATATAAATCTCAACAAAAGCTCATCAGAGTGTAAAACATAATTCTCCACCATAGGTACCAGCAATTTTAAAGCTTTACAACAGCTCAAAAACAAATATTACAGCAGCCATTATGTGAAATTGGGCTGGAATGTGAAATATGATTCGCAAAAAAGGATAAAAATATCATTTTCCCACCATAGGCCTATTGTAGGAAATGCATTAAGAATCTTGTTCAGAGTCAGAATGCAATTTGCAGGAATTTCCATTTCCAGAATATCCTAGTCAACGGTTAAAAGAATAAGGCATATTTAGTTACTGAAAAGAATGCTTACTTCTTGTTAATCTTATCAAACTCGGCTGTAAGAATAGCCATTGATTTTGTGTCATCCCTCATAAGAGGCTTCTTGATTTCTTTTTCAACTTTCTCCAAAGCATCCATCATCATAGCCTCAGCACCATGTTCATCAGTGAGTCCTCTCCTTCAGAAGGCAGGGAAAATGATATAAAGTAAAATAACATGCAGAAAGAAGGGAATGAACTTTATCATTGATCCATCATCATTATGACCGTTGAAAATTTGTCATTGAAGCTAGTAATTGAAAGTTCATAAAAAGAAAATATGAAAATAGTCAGAAGCAGCCCATACTGTCAACAAGTTTCAAGTCAACTATAATAGGAAAATCACATTCAAAACAAGACTCTAGGTATTTTCATCAGTGAAAGCTATAATCTTCACAAAAAGAAGGGAATGAACTTTATGAGAATGGGAACCACATAAACATGCTACCATGCCAGAAAGAAGCAGACACAAAATTGAGGCTTTGTTTCTTTCAAGTAAATTGCTTCCCCTAAACTTTTTGGAAAACATGCTTTCGCCTGATGTTTGAATGGTCCAACAGGAATATTTTTCCATTGTTTGGCATAATTTTTTTTCCTGGAAAATCAGCATTGCTATGAAAATCATATTCACATAACAGGCAAAAAGGGTAGAAAATAGTAAGTTTGATATTTTTGGCAAAAAGTTCAATCTGTGCAAATGCACTCGCTAAAGTAGGTGTGTCATTTAAATGACTAAAACATATTTTGCTTCAGAAAAATAGGTAAATTTCTTGTTGACTCAATTCATTTTCCATTTACCAAGCTATTTCTGTGATACAAATAGGCCATAAACTACAAAATATCCTATTGATTACATTGTAAAGGATTTACGAAAGATAAGCAATTCAAAAGTAGGGATTGACATACTTGATCCTTATTTCCTTCAAGGTCAATAAATATGTTCGAACATCTGGAATGTCCCGAGTTCGTGTTTGGATGGTGTATTGGATCCGCTGAGATTCTGAAAACAAGCCAGCCCTGCAATAGAGAAAAAAAATTATAAAACAATGAAATGCATGTAATATTCAATGCACTATCCCGTCAAGATAGCATATTGCAAGGAAGTGAGATTGTGCAACAATGTTAAAACAACTCCAAGAGGGTAGGAAGGTAAAAATAATATTTCCTATTAGCAACCAATTCATTTTTAACGGGAAATTAACCAAGCTGGGAATTAGCTACTTTATTCACAAAGCTACTCGAACATATTGTACTCAAACTTGAGTGTCAGTGCCAAATACATATATGTTCAATTTCTGTAACATTTTCTATATAATTTGAGAGTCCTCGGAGGGTCATATTCCATACCCATGTTCAGATATGTGTCGGACACAGGTGTAAGAGACGAGTACTTTAAGAGAAATGAAGAGCTAGAGTGACATAGGCTCAAACTGTGAAGTACTGGTTTAATAGCAGCTTAATTCGATTCCAATTAATATTTACTCAAGAGCTTCAGACCCCAGTTTACATAGCAAGTAACAGAAAATAGTCTCATAGAATTATCTTCTTATAAACTTAAATTAAAAAAAAAAGAACAACAAATGGTGAAGGTGTTATTCAATAACTGTAAATAATAGAATGTGCAGGCAGTTGAAATTTATTAAATCCACTTCCCATACAGACATGATCCACCATATCTCAAGCAGGCATGCAATAGATTGTAATTACAAAGTTTCAGAAATGTAAAGTTTGATATTTCTAAGACATTTTTAAATTAAACATGTCAATTGCATTTGGTTTAATCTCTTTAGATTATATTTAAGTAATTTTTTTGTGTTGTATATTACTAGCACTTCTATAAGAGAAATACAGTTTTCGGCCTTTGGGTGGGTGGGTGAGGTTGGAACTGGATTGGGTTGATTGCTAGAGGGTTGTTGGCAATTGGGAAGCATTCCTTCTACAGCAGGGATGAAGTAATATGGTAGCATAAAGGTTTAGAGACAGGAGCAAAGAAACTTTCTCAATCACTTTTTTTTACTCGCCACTTTATTGCTTTTCCAGTGTTCTAGCCAGTAGCAAGTGCAATCTACTCGACTAGATAAAAGCAAATGTTCAAAGGAATAGTGGAGAGCAAGTAAAACATGAACGAGAGGTAAAATAAAACCCCACTTTTCTCTAACTGTCTTCATAACATTTGCATACTGAGAGACAGCAGCTGGGTCATCTGGGTCGATGGTGAACTTTTCCTTCCTAAATACTCCCAACGCTGTCTCAAATTTGTTCTTAACCTCCAAAAAGATATTCTTCAACATCTCTGTTTCATTGAAGCAAAAAGGAATTCGTCAGTAGACATCGCAGAAGATCAAGAATTAATGATAACCAAATAGTAAACAATCATCCATTAGAAAACAATAACTAAAGCATCAACATGACAGGGACATTTCATCCCACTACATTTACATATGCATCAAAGCATCAAACCTTTAGCTTATAGAAAATAAAATTACATCAACAATGCCCTAAGGCCCAAGCATAAAACGAGTACTCCACAGAAACACAATGATGTAGTTCAGTGAGAAAAAGGCTGCAAAACAATAGAACTATAGTCTAATTGATTAAAAGTAATAATAAAGTGGATGAAAATATATCTCACAACTTATTTATACTAAGGTTACAAATAAAGCTTTAATCCTACTCTAAGATTAAAACTTCAAAGATAATTTATAATCCTAGCCATCCATCCATATGCCCTAATACAAGCTAGGAGAAGCATGTAATGGGGGGAAAAATAGCAAATTAAGATAAAAAAGTAAAGCAATCATCTTGATATACACTTACCGTCTCCCTTGAGACTAGGGGGAGCAGCCTCTTTGGAGTAAAACCGGACAGGATCGGTAGCATCAGCTCGCAGAATAGCTTGACTACCATAAAGCTGAACAAATTACCCAAATATTTTTTTTTTAAAAATGCAATATCCAAGACAAACATCAATGACAATACATATACACACACACCGCAGGATAATAAATTTCAATAACATTAAAAAAAAGAATGTGAGATTCTATTATAAATTTTCTTTGCTTTTGTGGAAGTTACCATGCGTAGCATCTATCACCGTGCCTAAAGCTCTCTTTTTTTTCAGGGAAAATGAAAAGAACTTTTATTCCAACATTTTCTCATGAAATATTAGATTACATCCCTTGGTATAAAACGGCAATTCAACAAAAATGAAGCAGGATTTCCAATTTTTAGTTAAATCGTGAGTATCAATCTAAAATCAGAGGTACATATCGCTTGTCCATACTTAAAATTAAGAAAAATAAAATAAATCAATGAAGTTTCAACAGATCCACAAATGAAATAAACAAAACTCGATTAATCTGAAAAAAGAATCAAACATTCTGAATCGTAAAGATCGAAATGAAATGAAAGTTACAATTAAAAGCGGAAATATAAGGAAATCGAAAATGGAGATCTGGAGTAGAGAAGAAAAACCTGACGAGATTTGGAGAGAAGGCGAGTAGAAAAGGCCATGATCGGATAGCAGAATCAAACTTCTCTTTTGGATTAGGGTTTCCTGGGTGCTTTTGGGGTTCTAAATTAAGGGACTCTCTCGCTCGGCTGTTGAATTGAGACGATAGTGATGGGATCTATCAGTTGCTCGCGAGTTGCTTTGCCTTCTATTCCCTCCGTTGGATCAACTGATTCACCATCCAATTCTTTTCATGCTTGCCATGTGTCCCGGTTGCACATAAATTTAAATTGGTATATTTATTTTTGTTCTATTTGCACATAAATTTAGCTTTTATCACAAATTGATATTAAAATAAAAATCAAATTCATATATCAATTTCGCAAAAAAAATATAATATTCAATTTAGAGAAAAAAATAAGAATTAATTTAAATCCTAAAACTAATTTAGGGTACAAAGAGTATTTTGATTTTTTATAAAAATAAATTAGGGAAAAGTACACAAATGGTCCCTTTAATATAGGGAACTATTTTCTTAGGCCCTGGACTATTAAAAGTTATAAAATGGTATCCCAAATACTTTGTTGAGTCATTCGACTATTAAAAGTTATAAAATTGTCATCTGACTATTTATATATTCCAAACCCGTCCTTTTTTTAATTAAAATTTGGTGTATATCTGAGCTAAACGTTAACTTGTTGATTGAGATAAGATAAAATATTATCTCAGACCCGCTTTAGCTGTATTTTGTGGATCAACTCTTCATTTATATTATATCGCCAAGTCAACGCTTAAAAAATTATGACGTCGAGTCAATGTTTGAAAGCAGCGACAATGTCAGTAGGCATCATTAAAATATGATTGTATCATATTTTAATCAGCAATTAATCTCCAGTTCAGACAACTATTAATTTTTAACATAAAAGGATGACTTTTGAACATATTAATAGTTGGATGATCATTTTGTAATTTTAATAGTCTAAGACTTAACAAAATAATGTTATATAATCGAGAGATTATTTTATAGTTTTTAATAATCATACGACTCAACAAAATAGATCTTATAATCGGGACCATTAGTATACTTTATCTTTACATTATTACTTTATCTTATAATCGTATCGAGTTCAGATTTTATCTCAAAAAGGCGAGTTAGGTTCGGGTCAGGTGGAGGGTATATATTTTTTGGGTCGGATTCAGGTCGGATGGAAGGTATATATTTTTCGGGTCAGATCAGGTCAGGTACGGTGAAGGATGTAAAATTTTCGGATCGAGTCGGGTTGACCCAAACCCGACCCATGCCCATCCCTGTGTGTGGAGTCACAGAGGAAATAGCAAACCACATCCTTACTGAGTGTCCAAAAGTAGTAACAATATAGTTAGGATTGATCAAACTAAGAAAACGCTCGGAATTCATGATGATAGAAATCAAAGAGTGGATTAGAACAAACCTCGAAGAACCATCGCACTTCGCCACTGAGGAAACATATTAGGACATACTATTTGGCTCTATTTTATGGTCATTATGGCTGCATCGGAACGTTTACATCTTCGACTCGAAAAACATTGGTGCATAAAGTATAATGAACCACGGTCGACGTTTGCAGAAAGAACGAGCATAAGTGCTCGAACATAGGAACTGTATCCATACCCCATCCCGCCCTCGGCATTTGAGCTAACAGTACAGTAGTTTAAGGGAAAATTTGCATGGCCTTATTTACTGTTCTTCGGTAATTTTTTGATGGCTTTTTCATTACTTTCTGTATTATGAGAACAAACCTTTACAAAGGATTCACTGCTTTCATGTCCCAATGCTGTTTCCTTTTGATGTTATATTAATTTGTTTTCGACTGTTTTGAGTTTTTTTCTGATGCTGTGTTGTACCATACTGGGAAGTACACAGACTCTTGATCTGCTGTTCTAATTTGTTTGCATTTCGTGCTTAAATATATAATGTGTTTTCTCTTTTCAATGTGTTATTAGATACCGATCTTTTGCTTGAAATCTTTTCCTTTTTCGGCCGGTGCGGGGAAAACGTCTCTTGTTAATCTGATTGTTAAAGGCTCTTCCACTTCTTGCCCTCCTCAAACTATTGGATGTACGGTTGGTGTGAAGGTAAGACAGTACTCGTTGTTGCCTTAAATGAAGTTTTTGATTGAGTTCTTTCACCAGATAACCGCTACAATCTCCACACAGCATATCACATATGGTAGTCCCGGTAGCTCTTCAAGTAGCTTGAAAGGGGATGCTGAGAGAGATTTCTTCATTGAACTCTGGGATGTGTCAAGACATGAGCAATACAAAGATTGCCGGTCTCTATTTTATTCCCAAATTAATGGTTAGTTCTTAATAATCTCTTTGCTTGAGCAAAGGTCTGAAGTTCATGGTAATTGTTGGTACAGAAATTTTCTGAACCATAGTTTGTAAGTATAATAATCTGCAGTCTCCCCCACCCACCCTCCCAGTATCGGATAGCTTGCTGTTGGCATGTCTGCACCTCTATTTAGTACTATCTTGAAATTGAGTTTTCGATTACACGAGAAACTGATTGAGGACCATGGATATTTCTTGGTTGATATTCTGGCCAGTCCCCTAATTCAATACATGCACATAATCATCAGTATACAGAAACCTGTTCCGGCAAACTCTATGATCAGTGATTTTCTCACATGATTCTTCCGTAAAATTCTGCCCACGTGTTATTTTTGTTCATGATCTTTCCCAAAGGAGAACAAAAACAAGCCTGCAGCAGTGGGCAGCTGAGATTGCAGCAACTGGGACGTTTTCAGTTCCCCTAAGTTCTGGAGGTCCAGCAGGACTTCCTGTCCCATACATTGTTATTGGTAACAAAGCTGACATTGCTGCCACAGAGGGTACAAGAGGTAGCAGTGGCAATTTAGTCGATGTAGCTCGTCAATGTGTTGAGAAGCAAGGTTTCCTTTCATCTAGCGAGGAGCTTCCATTGACCGAGAGCTTTCCTGGTAGTGGAAGGCTTATCTCGGTAAGCATTTTCGTTTTCTTAGAACTTGATGTCCAAGTTACATTCACTGTGAGTTTGAGTTGCAGAGATCTGATGTTTTGATGAGCCGGGCAAACCCAATTAAACAATATTAGCTTTGGTTTTCGGTAAACGTATATGTCTAACGCTTCGCTTGATTTCTACAGGCTGCCAAAGAGGCAAGATATGACAAGGAAGGCTTAATGAGATTTTTTCGAATGGTATCTGTGCTTATTTTGTGTTGTATTGCAGCTCTTATTTTTCTTACGGGTTAGCTGGCGTTGAACTTATACTGTACTTTGTTTCAGTTGATCAAGAGACGATATTTTCCCAACGACTTATCAACCCTGAATACATGGTCTGCATCTCCTTCTCCGAGAACTTCTCTACGTTTAGACGAAAATTCCAACGATGATCATCGGTTATAAAAAGCGAACGAGGTAAGTCCGGCCGAGTTATACACTTGTATAAAGGACACCATCATTCTTCCCATCTATTCTGTTGTTTGCTCCGGCTGTTTGCAGTTTGAACGGCGACCCTTACAAGTACGACATGCTTCCTCCCTTACCGATACAGCACAATCTGACTCCACCTCCCACATTTTACCCTCAACAGCCGGTTTCAGCAACCGAGAATTACGACCTTCCACGATTCTCCTTTACCGGCTCCCAAGAATTCAACAGCAGTGCGAGATCAAAGCGCGCCGATATTAATGTCTGATGTGATACCGTTTCCGGTGTTTGCTACAAAACCATCACCGTAGATGGGATGCTGATTCTTTTATTTCCGTTAGCCCCTCCGTTTCTGGGGTTTTTACAGTTTTAGTGCTTGTATAATTAGTTATTAATTGTTTACCCCCAAAATATAGGTGATGCGCTTCAATCAAATAGTTAAAGAAATAAATGTAGATTTTAGTTTGGCATTCAGTAGGTCTAGTACATTAAAATTTCATATTGAATATAATTAAATATTTTTGCATGTTGTTTTATATAAAAATTCTATAAAATTGTTGTTATTTTGGATAATCAAATTTATTTTTACAATTAAATCATCAAGAGCATCGATTTTCAATCAAAATTAATTGAATGTAGTTAATAAATTATTAAATATTTTATTTTAAAAATAGATATTTGATCAATTTAATTAAAGATAATTGTAAAATATTAATAAGGGAATATGTTATATTCTATTCATCAATATTATGAGTATATATATATATATATATATATATATATAAGTAAAGTAATCTTATATTAACTGCGTAATATCATATATTAAATACAATATATATTAACTTCATTATTTAGTCTATAAGTATGTAACACTCCTTAAGTTGGTGCATGGATATTAATTATTTCTAGTTTATTATATAGACAATCAGTTTGAATTTCGTTAAGAATATTTGTAAAAATATCTTATAAATGTAAAAGTTTCCCTAAATTGATAGTAATCAAATCTTGTTAGATGTTTTCGCGAATGACAATCAATTTTAATGTGTTTCGTTTATTCATAAAAATTGGATTTAACGTGTTTCGTTTATTCATAAAAAATTGGATTGGATGCAATGTGAAACACAAGTTGATTATCACGATAGCTTTGCACGTATTGAAACCTTAATTTTCACTTCTTATAAGAACAAATATACTCGTCGATTTCATACACAAACTTGATCATAGCTCTGTATTTAACTTCTACATTGGATCATAAGCTCACATTATGTTTTTTGCTCTCTCACGAAATCAAGTTTCCTCTAATAAATATACAATATCTTGAAATAGATTTGTTAACTTAATCCTTATATCTTATTCGATCTGAAACTGGAAAATATTCGATCCTATTATTATCGTGATTGTCATATAAAATTTCACATGTTTTGTTCCTTGTTTTATAATCTTCTGATAATCGACAATTGATGATGACATATATTGGTTCAACATACTTAACGGAACCTTGACACTTACGTTATTGTATGTGATTTGTCTGAGCTCGACGCTGGCTCCAATGGTTGTGTATGTACCGTTTGTGTCAACCACCCAACCGGAACGACACTTTGCCTTGGAAGGTGTCAAAGTGAATGCCTCATATTATCTGCATCTCATTCTGTGTTTTCACAGCAATAAAGAAAAGTAGTATTCTATGTTGTTTGGACCTTTTTATTTTTCATTCAATTAGACAATTTGATTTTAAAATCGATTCGATTTGAACATGACTTGATATAGTAAGAGTAAACCTAAAGTTTCACATTGAAATCGAATCAAACCGAATAGTTCGTGAGAAATCTAAAGCTCGTCACGAGGTTCATGTTGATTATCAGATCGAGAGACGGTCGGTTTTTTCTTCTTCTTCACCTTATCAGCAGTCTTGTGAACAGATTTTGCAGCAGTTCTGGCAGCTCCTTGAAGCGTAGCTTCACTTGTTCTATTGCTCTTCTTCATCGCTTCTTTCATGTTCTCTCGTACACTTTCGGATTCCTCCCCTTTTTCTATGCCACTGCTTCTAAAACTGCCAATACAACCAAACAAATACAATGCTAAATCATGAATCTACACCAAAGTATATATTAAATCCTGTCTTGAGTCTTGACGAAGAAGGAAATCTTACTCGATATTTGGAGGGGTAAATCGCAGCTGGAATTGATGGATAAGGGATTTGAACTTGTGCGAAAAAGTTTGATGAGATCTCTTCAACAGATCAACGGAGGTGGATAATAATTGGAAGAAAGATGGCTTGTTATATTCGTTGTTCAACTGCTCCGCTCCTTCACAAACCACGGATGATATTTGATGCCACACAACGACGACGATCAAAGGTTTTGGTTTCAAGTTTCTTCGCTTTCTCTGAGTAAATATGAAAGGTAACGTGAATTCATTAACAAGCTTCCAGGCATCGAATATTTCAAACTGTTTTTTGAACACCAGTATTTTTTTTTCATTAAATAAATATATGACTTTCGTAATAATTTAAATTTTCTCTTTTTAAATTTTGCACAGTTTAATCAAGAATTTTGTGCATAAATTTTAAGGATAAAATACACAAATGATCCCCCAACTATTAAAAATTACAAAATAATTCCCTAACAAAATGACATTGTTTTGTTAAGCCACTCAACTATTAAAAGTTTTAAAATATTCATACAATATTACAATTATTATATATTTCAAACTCGTCATTTTCTGTTAAAAAATTAACGGATGTCTGAGTAAAACGTTAACTTAATAACTATGATATGATAAAATCATATTTTAATGATGTTTATTGATACCGCCGTTACTCCAAACATTGACTCGATGACATAATATTTGAAGCATTGACTCGACGACATAACGCCAACGAAGAATTGATCTACAAAATACAACTCAAACGATTTTTGGATCAAGTTTTATCATATCCCAAACAACAGGTTAACATCCAGCTCAAACAACTGCCGATTTTTTAACAAAAAATGACGAGTCTAGAGCATATGTATAATCAATGACCATTTTATAGTCAAAAGAACGTATTATAGTCAAAAGATTATTTTGTTGCTTTTAATAATCAATAGACTCAACAAAACAATACCATATAATGAAAAAACCATTTGTATACTTAAATTATAATTACTATTAACTTTATTATTATTCTGTAAATCGACCATAGAATAAACAAAACTCCAAAAGTATCATTAAGCTCACTAAGAATCTTTATAATAACATAGATATGTTTTTTTTTTCTAAATTCATTGCTTTTATTAGTTTACTTCTACTCTTTATGCTAGCTTTTTAAAGAATTTTTAAAGGATTAATTATCTAATTTACATAGAAATAAATTTAAGAACTATAATTGATTTATTATACAAAAAATTATCTTATCGTTTTTTATTGTTTCAATGACGTATTTAAAGAGTTTATTATACGATAATTCACGAATTAATTTAATAAATATATTTTAAAAAGTTGATCCCTCACAATATATACAAACAAAAAAAGTAAATATAACCCTTTCACTAATTGATCAAGTGTCAACTCAATTGAGAAATTACAATAATTCTTTTATCTTTAAAAAAGAGAATTAAAAACCATTAAACTAAGAATTAAACCCACAATCAATGCCGATTCTCCGAGAAATTAAATAAAATTCCGACTAGTTCTGCCATTTTAATATCGAACTCACGTTTTGAGGTAGAATACTATCACAACAAAGCAAAACAAGCAACGGGATAATTGGATCGAAAGAGCTTTGCAACAAAATGGCTCTTTTTACACAATCAATCTATCTCGTCTTAACCATATTTCACGCGGAACGAACGTAAATGGCGGCTGACAATTTTGTGCAAGATGATAGATGGAATCATGGTAAAGAGTTCGGCGATGAATTCCAATATTCCAAGCTCACACTTTATTGATAATCCGAACAACATCTTCATCCTCGAGTTCATGATCCTGAGATGAGATCCAGGCAAATCAGCAGAGCATTGAACAACGAAAGGGAAGAAAAAGCATGAAGTAGACAAATGGTAGATATTAAAATTACACACATCCCGATACGAAAAAGCAAAATGAATATTTGAATGAAGCAAAATCTTGTGCGGCACCTTGAACACGATTATGACAAGAAAAAGTAAAATGAACATAATACATGGATTGCCAAACCCAAGAAATGGGGGAGCAAACAACTGGGGGAATAAGGGATGTTAAAGCTGACTAATAGAGAAATCAGGGACTTGGGACATACCTTGCCAACTCTTTGAGGCTTGTGTTTTGCGCTTGACCCCCATATAAGTGCACTGTGACATTTTGCCAGATTAAGAACTCAATAACTGGAAATTGGAAATTTCGATTCTAAATACAGTAAAAAAAGTAAAAGATGATAATAATTTCTAAAAAAAAATCAATCCAAATAAATAATTCTCAGGCATACATCCGTGGATATAACATTTTCTTTGAAAAGCAAGCATTCAACTGGTTGTGATTTTATACGAAATAAGATTTAGTAGAGAAGGTAAAGGAGAAAGAAAACACCCCACTAAGGAGCTAACAGTCCAAAATGAGGAAAACACAAAGACCACACTCCCACTTAGAGCTTTGTTATCAGCACCCTAAAGTCCAATCATTATTGCAAGTTTCCCTCTCTAATTGCAGAAATGGGTTGGAATTTGCTCATCCTAAAAAAAAGCAGGGCACTCAGAAAAGAGTATATGTGAGCATGCATGTGAAGAAAATTGCTATGACTTGTGCCACACTGCATTAAAGATTTGGAGAGGATACTTACTACTTAAATTGTTTAAGCATGTCTTTATGAATTCGAGTGCAGAAGTCCTCAACCGTCCTTGTCTTTGATGACAGGATAACAGGATCTTCATAGTCTGGATTCAGCCCTTTTGGCTTCGTATATATGTGAGTTAAACTGATATACTCCTATATCTTCTCAAGGAGACCATCTAGATTCCACTTCAGGTGAGCACTTTAGAGTGGTCAGAAAAAGAAATTATATAAAAAAAAATCAAGTACTAAACGAAAAAATATAGTTGCAGTAAATCACTCGACCATTACAAGGACATTGTATAGGAGTAAAAATGACACTTAGGAGCACAATCAGAAAACCATGCATGAGCCAGCTTTTGCAATATTTTTAAACTATTAGTATTGACTCAAAAAAAAAAAACTCTGGCCATACAATCAGCGTTAGATAAGGCAATAAACAGTTACAGCACAACTTTCCTGAGTGCGAATATGAAGGTTTTTGTTTATTCTAAATATGATTCCTACTTTGTAGGCCTCCTGAGTGTTTGTTATAAAACACTTTATCAGCTCACAAGGAACAAGTATTATTTGAAGTCTAAATCACAAGAAGGTTTAAGATTGCATATTACAACCAATGTACTTCAATGTAGTAGACCCCAATTTTATAATGCCAACTTTGAATGAAAAATGTGTTTGTTGCAGGACAGAAAATTTCCCAAAAGAGAGGTGAAAAATACCTGATTGGGCAGTAATGAGGAAGTTTATCCAATATCTCCAATTCTTCAAGTGTGATCTGATCAATCTTGTTTATCACATAGATGCAAGGCATATATATCCTACTGCCTTCAATGGCATCGATTAGATCATCAGCAGTTGCATCAAACCTCAGAGTGATATCAGCATTGTGAATTCTGTATTCGCTACATATTGCTTTTACAGTGTCAAGGTCCAGGTGAGTATTTGCAACTGTAGAGGTGAAATTAATACCACCCTTATCTTTCTTTCTGAATGTCAAATTAGGCGGTTCCTTGTTCAACCTGTCCCCACAAACAAAACAAATATTAGAAACAGAACAAGCCTAGCTGCAACAGAAGAATAGTAGCAACATGAAATATGGATGCTCCAAGATATATACTATATCAATTAAATCTAAAAGAATCATATTTATAAGAAAAACTGAATACCAAGGACATTCTGCACATCTATTGGTCCGTCAAAACAAAGCACGTACTAGGTTTTCGGAAATTGATGCAATACGAATTTGAATTAAAATTACTTTGAAATATATTCAGAAATTCAGCACGTACTAGGTTAAATTAAAACAAAGCACACAGATACATACAACAATATATTCGTTTCAAATTATAGATAATCATGAGCAGCCGAAGAGAATGGAGAGATTGTTCTATGAACTAAAATTTAAATAATGGAAAAAAGAGAGGATGAAAGCTAACCTTGTCTTCGATGTCTTTGATCTTTTGCATAACAGTGGCCATTGTTACAGAAGAAAAACAGCAATGAAGGTGACAATGATCGGACGGCGGCGTTTCTGGACGAAATACAGAAGAAGAAGAAGAAGAAGAAGAAGAAGGTACTAGCTAAAAAATGAAATTGATCAAACTATAATGGGGCTTTCGAGTTGGGCTGCTATTGTTTTGGATTGGATATTTATTATAAGGAATCCCTTGCTATCGGCTTTACTCTTTAGTTGTATTTTGTTATAAAATAAAGAAAATATACTAAATTAAATAAAAAGAATATAAGAAACACGAGAATTTAAAAAAAAAAAAGTTTACATTGTTTTTTTTACCAGATGTATAATATATTTTATTTTAATTTTATATTTATAATGGCATATACGAGATATTATATAAAATCTTAATTTTAATAAGCCTTAAAATTCATTATTTTAATTATAATTGACATTCACAAATAATAAAATATTTACAATACTATTTTTTTAATTATTGAATTCTCATTAAAAACAATATTTCTTGTTAAAATTTTATGAAAATGAAATATGATAAGAAAAAATGTCTTAATAAAATAAATAAATATACATATTTTTAACACTCATATTTTAAATATCATAAAAAGTAATTCATAATATTCAAACAAATATAACAGATTGAAATTAAACTTTTTGTATAGAATAAGCGTATGAAAAATGACTCATGACATAAAATGAGATGATAATAAAATGTTATAAGTAAAATTTTGTTTCCTTCTTTCTAGGTAATAATTACTCAGAACAATATACTCAATTATTATTTCACTTACATAAATCAATTTAGTATAATAAACATTAAAATCACTTCGAAATATCAATTTTTTTAAATAAAAATAAAAATAAAATTTTAAATTATATTAATAATATGAATGAAACAAATTTGATTAATAACAATGATGTTGACAATTAAAATCTCAAATTTTAAATTAAAAAATTAAATAATGTTGTAGCTTACCATCTTTTAACCTCATAACTACCCAGATATTCAATAAGCCACAAATGAGTGAAGGCAACCTAATTAATATGGAAGAAAGTAAAACAATAGGGAGGAATTATATTTACAAGGAATGCTCATCTTTGAAGAACTCAGGCCGAGACAAAGGATTGAAGGTCACGCTTAGCTTTGGGAAGAGGTTTAAGGTTTTCCTTCTGATTCTCTTGTGAAGAAGACGAAGCTTTTGACTTCATTTTCTTATTGTTTATGAGAACCAGCTCTTGTTTTAGGTCCTTTCCTAGATAAATGTCACCATCGGATCCGTGGCGCAATGTCACCATCGGTTTCAAACTCCCAATCCTAAGCGGATCTTTGATTTTTCTTTTCCTGAAACTAGATTTCCATATTTATAAAAATGTCCCCACAATTTCTCCATGTTTTACTTTACTCTCTGCAACTCTCCATTAACGTAAAATCCTCAAATTTCTTCCATTGAATTGAAATAAAGAATCTTCGGCAGAGCAGATTCACACTGTTTCTTTTTTCTATTAACATTTGAGTTTTACAAAGTAAATACATATCCAGACTAAATATACCCGATTTTGATTAGTAGAGAGAGAGAGAGAGAGAGACTATATACATATCCATACCTGACATTC